TATTCTCTATCATAATATATGATGACATCATCACAAATAACACAGGAAGTCACACAATGAGACATTGAGAGCTAATATTTACAGAGTAGGTTTGAGCATGTTGAAAGCTAATGGGTTTAAAGCACCAATTTATACACAAATCATCTGAAATTTTTAGTTTTGAGTGTCTTTTTTTTCTCAATTTAAATCAGATAACCATTGATTGAACATTGCATGCCTCTTTGAAACCCAGGTCAAGATCATGATAATTTTTATTATGAAGCATTTGTCTCTTTATAATTCATTTTATTTATTTATTGTTAATTGTACAGTTTTTTTTTTTTTTTTTTTGTCTTTATTCAATTTTAATCAAGTTATTGTTATTTTCCTATAAAGAATCAAGCTGATTTACACTTCTATGATGAGTAAAAATTTTGGGTTAAAATATCACCCATTTAAAAATGGGATAAGTTTATTGTAGTTTAAAACTTTTGTTTAAATGAGATGTGGTGTTTGTATAATTATAAATATGTTGCAGAAGATTTTTTTGCTCAGCTTTACTCATTGTTTTGAAAATTCTGAAATTTTCTCTGATTAACTTCCTCTTCAAATTGCTGAAGCTAAATGATTTATCTCCACACACACACACACATATATATATATATATATAAAAGCTGAATGTCAGGATTAAAACCAGTGGATTGATTAAATGAGATACAACTTGGAAAAATCTTAATAAATTTAACATGCTTCACTATTTAGTTTCATCAGAAATTTTGGGAAGTGGAATATTATGAAGTTGTTACAATGGTTAAATTTTATGATGCTTTCGATGGCTGTGTTTGCATACACACTAATGCTATAAAATAAACATGACATCTAGGAAACCAATGGAAACAAAAGAACATTGAATTCAAAACTTGGAACATAGCCAATCTCATTTGGTTTCCCAATGGTCTTGTTTTTTATTTTTTTTGCTGTTTTTTTTTTTCTTTTTTAAATATCTCATATTGTGACAGGTCTGCCAAGAAAAGTGAAATGTTTTAATAAACTGGATGCAAATTTACCATAGATGATTTAGCAATCAGTGTACTTTCTAGATATTTTCACCTTAGTAAATTGTTTTCTCTTTTAATATTTTAAATTTACATTATGATCAAACTCATTATGGTGTCTAATGCATTGTGTGTTTCTTTTCAAAAGATCCCTTTTGTGTTCATATAATGTTTTTAAATTCCACTAGTTCTCTCCTATGTATTCTTTGTGGTAATCGTTACAGGCTATAGAGTTTCAGGTTTTAGATTATTATTTAGTTTTGTATTAATTTTCTTATTGTTTTAGTAGTTCTAACAAATTTTATGTTAAATTTAGATAAATTATTTTCAGTTGTATTTTTGATAGAATTGGTTGGTTGCATAATATATCTAGTTTCATTAAGTTTGTTTATATCATTCATTCTTTTATTTTAAAAAAATTAATGAGCTTTCTGTTTCACATTAAATATGGAATAATTAAGTTATTGAAGGAGCTTAAAAGTATTTTCAATGTATTTCTCTTCATCGTGTAAATATTCAAGCCTACAAATTTTAAGTGCTCTTAAATGGAATCTGTTAAGTATTCTGGATTTTATTTTATTGTTATGGTAAGAATAGAAATTTATAACATCATTTTTATTAAGAGATTTATGATAGACATTTAGTAAATTATAGATTATTATATACCAAGAAAATATGATATTTACCTTTTAAAAATAAAAAAATAAATAAAATGGGAAAATATCATCTGTACTTTTGATACGGGGAATTGATTGACTTGTTTCGTTTTTTTTTTTTGTTTTTTTTTGGGGTGGGGGTATGACATATAAACTCTTTGTGGGATATTTATAGACAAAGCATGTAGGATTTTTAGAGATTGCTTACACTACTTGGTGTTCCCAAGCAGTCCCCCATCTAAGTACAGACTGGTTCTATGGAGAAATATGGTATATGCATTTTATATCAGAAAATATAATATTTACCTTTGATATGGGGGAATGTGGTTTGTACTTTTTTATGGGGAATTGATTGATTTGTATTTTTTTATGGCTTATCAACCCTTTGTAGGTTATTTAAAGCCGAAACATATTTTGGATTCTAGGAGGTTTCTTAAAAAAAAAACAGTGTTCCCAAGTGGTCACCCATCTAAGTACTGACCACTTATATGAGAAAATGTGTTATGTAACTTTTTATATTTTGAAAAATTCTTATGAATTACGATCATGGGTATATCTCTTATTAGTGTATAAACATTTTCTTTTCATTTTAAATTATTTCTTTAAGGGACTTACGGACTTTATCAAGGTAAATGTAAGGATTTTATTTTGCAACATGTAATCTATAAACAGAAGTGAGGTGAACAAAAATACCATGAAGTACTCAAAATTTTAAATTTTAGAATGCTCTAAAATATTCTTACACAAGTAAAACTAAAATATTGTAATTTTATTTATTACTTTATTTTAATAAATTATGTATTTATTTTCAGTAACAAAAATTCATAAGTTAAACATTTTTTTTTTAATTTTAAAAATTATTTTTTTATTTTTATAAATATTAGTTTTGGAAGGAGTATTTCTTTTAAGAAAGGAGATATTTAAGTTTTATATATATATATATATATATATATAGTATAATCTGCTATTACCTGCTTTTGTTGCCTGTTTTACAAAGGCATCTCTTCTGACAGTATAAATCTTACCATGAAAGTCTTAAGCAGTAAATTTTATAGATTTTCTAAAGAATTTCCTAAAAACTCCTATTAAAAGAACAATAAGATGTTTTCTTATCTTTCCCTACTCTTAAGATGTTTTATTGGAATTCTTTTTTTTCTTCTATTATTACCATTTTTATAAAGATTTAGTCTCAGAGTTAAGATATATTACATTCCAAGTGAAGTCTTGTCACTATGCTTTAGTTCTCTACACTAATTAACAAGTTTAATACACATAGTTTTACTCTCAGTTCCAATTTGACTCCAACGGAGTCCTGGTGGCTGAGTGACTCCTGATCCAGTATAAAATGACCAGGAGTCTCCACAACACGTCACTTTGGTCTGTACCTGGGATAGATGGGCAGATGGAATAGCCCAATCCATTCCAATCAGCTAGTCACATAATAGAGCCATACATTCCTAATCCCTGTAGATGTCACAAATGTCAGAAATTTGGTCATCTACAAAAATCTTTGTACAAGGGCATCAGTCTGTTGAAGATGTGGGGAACTTGAATTGGATCATGAGGAGTCACCCTGTGAATGGCCTCCTTTATGTCCAAACTAAAAAAAATCAATCAGCAGACTCTAAAAGAGTGTAACATCTGGAAAAAATAAAAGGAAATAATAAGAATAAAATACATGCAAAACATCTTGTTCCAAGAAGTCAGAAAAGATGTTGAATCTTATTCACTTCCAACATCATATGCAAATATCACTAAAATATTAAATCACCAAAATGACATCTAAGAGAACAATGCAATATGAAGCCAAAATCTTACAACTCTAATAAATGAATTAAAAAGTCTAATAGAACTAATAAAATGTAGTATATCACACATAAATCAATCTCCCATAGACAAAACAAATCCTTTCCTGTCAACATCAAACAAAAAAGAATCCATATGTACAAAACAATTAACTCCAGAAATCCCAATCCAAAGTACAAAAATCCTTCAAGAAATAGAACCCTCTTAACATTCCCAAGAGAATCAAAAGATGCATAAAAAATAACACAACCCAGTACATCATTGAAGAATCAAGCAAAATGGGCATAGATGAACAAAACTCTATCCTAACCAGGGAAGGGCCATCATCCAAACAAAAATCATCAAAAGAACCTAATGGAAAATCTAAGGAAACAAGATTAAACAAGCAGAAACAAAAGACCTTCAAAGAACAAAACTTGACAAGAAATGAAGCGTTAATAGATTGGAGAGCATAGAAACTATGGACACGTCACTTACTAAGCATAAATTGGACAAGCAAAAATCTCTTAACACCTGGGATCAAAACACTATAAAAATGTAAAAATAGGTTTTAATACCAGAAATTCTTTGTAAAAAAAATTATTACAAGCAATAAATATTTGAAGGAAAAATTATTACCAGTAATACATTATTAACCAGCAAAACATTGTAAAAAAAATATCTCCAGCAATATATTTTTGGAAAAATATTACCAGTAATACATTCTTGAAGGAAAAAAGTATTACCAGCAATACATTTTTGGAAAAAAAAGTATTACCAGCAATACATTTTTGGAAAAAAATATTAAAAGCAATACATTTTGGGGAAAAAATATTAAAAGCAATACATTTTGGGGAAAAAATATTACCAGCTATACTTTTTTGAAAAAATATGGCCTGCAATAGATTTCTGAAAAAAATATTATCAGAAATAGATTCTTGAAAGAAAAATATTATCAGAAATACATTTTTGAAGGAAAAATATTACCAGCAATAAAAATTTTGTCAACATTAAATGACCGATTGTGGTTGATATGCTGTAAAATCTAATCAAACCAAACCAATTTGACTACAACCAGAACTGTCCTGGCTAGTGGGTTCTTTTCCACTAAATATATTAGTATTTGATTTTATTTATTTTGTAACTTAAGAGGTGTTGGGTCATAAAACACTTTATTATACAAGAACACTAAACTTATAATACAAACAGAAGACTTTACCTAGTTTGAGGTTTTGAAATTATGGTCAGCCTAAATATATATCTCTTCATATTTATATCTGTAAAAAATATATAATTATACAGATAAACATGCAGGCACAAACACAAACCAGTAACTGTTGAAAGTTTTCAGCCTAATCCACTTCCCAAAATCAATATTCTGATGTTTGGTCATTAAGATACTGAAAATGGGCTGAAAGCTTTCTGTAATACACTGGTTTGTGTTTCAATCTTACCAACCATGAAATGAACTCTCCTCACAAAGCTATACATGTGTGTTCACTTTTCCTCTTATGACTGTATCAAATTGAAACACTGGTTCTCAGTATGATCACCAAAGTTAAGCAATGTTGAGCCTGATCAGTACCTAGATGGTGACAACTTGGGAGTACCAGATGCTGTAAGCTTGGATGTGTGGATGGTGTAATGAATAATGGCTCAGAATTGAAAATCAGACAGCAGGGTTCCAATTCCAGTCAGGTTTGTTATATTCTCTTACATGCAAATACTCTTGGGAAAGGCATGAAATCACCTCTACTCTCTCCAGCTATGAATTAATTAGAAGGACTTGTTTCAGTAAATAATTATCTCCCCAAAACTCTTACAATCTAAAAATATTTTCCAGCTTTAAATAACCTGCAAAAGGTTGATAAGTCATAAAAACAAATCAAGCAATCAGTCACTTTCCCTCTCGCATAACTAAACATGCATTTATATGCTGTTTAATAAGTCATCGTGTATCTATGCACAAAGTCATTATTTAATTTTGTTACAGTTTTTTTCACTCCAAACAATGTCACTAAAATACAAGGAGATACTGTGAGTGGAAGAGAATGAGAAGACTTTAGTTGGGAGAAAGGACAATAAAAGAACTGGATTCAGGAGAACAGAAGATGATGATTGGATTGTATGTATCAGGGTAGCAAGAAACTGGAACAGAGTTCCATAGACAAGAAGTGTGAAAAAAAACATTAGAATTACAGATACATCTAGCTAGTTCATCAGTAAGAATGGTGAGACCTAATTGCCAATCTAGTAGTATGCTTAAATTCATGCAGTTGAAGTATCAAGGAGAAAAATGAATTAGAACAATTGCCATGAAAATATTTATTGAAAAGACAGAGGGAAGCCATATCATGGTAGTCGGAAAGCAACTGAAGTCAAGATGCCAGGTCAGGACTGATTACATGACAGACCTTTCTTTGGATTTTGTCAAGAATCTTGAGATATATAGCCGAAGCACCAGACCAGATATGGAAGTAATATTCAATATACAAACAAATGGTAGATTTATAAATGTGCAAGATGGATTCTGAAGAAAAGAATTATCTTTCACAACACAGTGATCCAACTTACCTAGCAATAGATTCAATCACTTGACTTCATGTCAGTTGAAAATATGTTCAAGAAGGCACAACGAGTATCTGCTTTCAACAAACCAGTAGTAGAGAATGGAAAATGTAATAGAAAAGTAGGTGTTTGTAATATATAACAAACACATGCAAGGCTATATTGTTTATACATGTTTGCTACTATCCTGGCATCAGTCCTCCAAACAGATATTTATAGTATTAGATCAATTCTCCATATATTTTCTGATATAAAATGCATATACCATATTTCTCCATAGAACCAGTCTGTACTTAGATGGGGGACTGCTTGGGAACACCAAGTAGTGTAAGCAATCTCTAAAAATCCTACATATTTTGTCTATAAATATCCCACAATAGTAAATGTTGATGACTGTGTTTCTTCAAAATAGCTTTTTTTATTTCAACAGAAAAAAATGTATGTAGAATAATTTACCATGGTTAAGTGTAATTGGTAATAATGCACAACAAATGGAATTGATAAAGTTTCCAATAAACAATAAGAAAAGGAGGAAGAAAAAGAACAGGGTAAAATAATACTAAGCAAACAATATATATGCAAGACAAAACTAGGCAAAGCAACAGTAAGAAGTCAAAAGCTTCACAAAGAATGGTGTTCACATGCAAAAGGGATACAGTCAAATGATTGAATCGTTTGACTTCAAGGCAAAAAAAAAATACAAAAATATGACTGATAGAACCAAGTAGTGATTCATTTTATTGGTTAGAAAGAAATCTCAGCATCTGTACAATTTGTCTACAAATTTGGAGAGGGGATGTTTTTAGTGGTCTTTCCTATTGGATTGAAACCAACAATGGATCATGGAAAATCCAATAAATTTGGAATTTGTTTCTTTGTTAGGAATATCAATTCTTATGAAGGTTTGCAATTTCAGTTAGAAGTGTTACTGTCTAATCATCAACCAGAGTGTGTACTAGACAATGAAGCTATATTTCTCACAAGTTCATGATATGACTAGACAGTCCTCCAAGAGAAATGCTACAATATGACTTATATGATGTAATGTGTTTTTGGTCTTAGGGACATTTACATTAACTATATTGTGGGTGAGCAACCGTTTTACATGAGCAGCAGAAAAATTCTTATGCGAAACAGCTTATTTTGATAGCAGCCATTTACAATTTGCTAAAAGGATATTTTTTTAACAGAAACATTCACTTTCAAATAATTACAACAGAAATCTAAATACATCTGGAAACAACAACACTAAATAAATTAATCAGCTATTAACTAAAAGCCACAGAGTAGCAGGAATTTTTTAACTCAAGAAAATAGAGGGAGGAGGAAATTTTTCTCTTTATTCACTCACAAGTACTCATGTATAAATTAAATCTATTTCTATACATTCACAAAGATGCATATATGCAGGCAGATAGACTTGAAATTCATATCACTTCTTTTGTCACCTTCTTTGATAAACATGCAGATACACACACACACACACACACACACACACACATATATATATATATATATATATATATATATATAATTATTTCCAATCACAATAATAATAATAATTGATGATATATAATATCTATATGTTTATAAAACATTCCAGTTTCAGCAGTGAATATTAAGAAAAAAAAATGAATCTATTTCATAGGTAAGCTGCAAGATGCTACAAGACCAAAATATTAACCTGAGAAAACACAAGGTAGCGGAGAACCTGACCAGCAAATGTCAAAAGCTTTTAGGAGGGCTAGGAACATTTAAAAAAATCTGATGGGAAGTGCATAAGCACACACACACACACACACACACACTTTATATATATATATATATATATATATATATAAACACACACATATATATACTTTATAAATTATGTCTATGGCAAAAGTGATATTAGCCAAAAGATGCGGCTAAATAAAGAATGTTCAATGCAATTTTCAAAAAGGAAAATGTAAGACAATTTAAGATATAAAATATTGGAAACACCAACCTTTATGCAGTTTCTAGTGGACTGGTTTTATTGGGCAGTTAATCGAGACTAACTGCCTGATAAAAGCATTTTGGTAGAAACCATGGTAGCATAAAGGTTGGTGGTTCTAATATTTTATATCATATATATAATAATATGTGGTCATATGAATCAACAGTGCATGGTGACTTTGTTTCATGTTTAGTCTGAAGATAAAACTGTAGCAAATAACAGAAACCATATTACTCACTAAAATAGGCATCACATGTAACTCAAAGAGAAAATGATGACATCATCAATATGTTGACATTCAACACTACACCAAACAAATGGTTAAGAAGCAAACTCCATAATTATTGGAAAGAATAATAACAGCCAGTGAACTGGATAAGCTTATTTTCCTGAAAAAGAAAATTATAAATTTCAACTGACAGTAGAACTATCTGGCCAGTTAATGAAAACTGAATGTTTCAATGTAAGGAAATGGCTAATCTTACTATATAAACCATTGAAGGGTGTGAGTCACATGCAGTGTTCATTTCTATGTTCATACTGTATATAGCTATAAATGCTCTGTCTATAATATCGAGCACTCTTCACCTATAAATGTAGCAAATTTTAAACTACATATCTAAGCTTTGAAGTAAATCTATATAAAAATGAAAATGATTTTGACACACCTTAATAAATCAAATTTAATATTCAAATATGGTTAAATTTTAGTTAGTAATCAACAATAACCATTTGTTAAAATGTTCTTACAAAATTATCAATGATTTTATTTATTGTGGCATAAATAATGTAGAGTGCATTAAATTGCTTTCAGGCTCAATGTATCAATCTTTACTTAATATTAACTAACAAATTAACATATAACTAAAAACACCACTTTAAACATCAATCATGATTACCAAAATGAAGTAGAAAATAAAATATTTCCTCCTCAAAAAGTTTTAGAAATATAATACATGATTTTGACCTGATTTTATTGTTTTTCAAACATTTTTATTCAAGGGAATGATATATAATCCTTTAAAGCTGCTTTTCCACTCATATTTTTTCTTACAGTAGAAATGTCATAAATAAACAAAGTTTTCCCTTATATCAACAAGGTCATGGTTATTTTTTATACTGGCATTTAACTTTTTTTCCTTTATGTACAGTTAAAAATAATTTATCTAGCTTCACACTTGCTTATATATCATATAATATATGAAAAAGAAAAGAAATCTAGAATTTTATCCCTTGTGCTAAGTTGCTCAGACTCATGACTACTTTTTTTTCACAGGAAGAACAAAATAATGATAAACATTGTAATAATTCTAGCTCTTGTAAATACTTAAATTATATCATCCTGTGATAAATCATTGTTGCTTGCTTGGCAGAAATGGTGTATGAGAAAACTGATGGTGGAGATAGACAATGTTCTAATTCAAATACCAGCATTGCAAGGTTTGTTTGTATAAACAGACTGAAGGACATAAAGTATCAACAGACCTTGTAACTGTAAAGAATTTGTAAAATATGAGTTATCTACATTGATAGATAAGTAATCAGATTTAGCAGCTAATAGACCATGTAATTGGTTTTTCTCACCTTGTGAATGAATCTTTCTTGAATTCATTTTATTTTTATTTTATCTTTCATTCCTTCTTGATTTCCTTCAGCCTTTCTTTTTCTTCTGTCTTTCCTTAATTCATTCCTCTATTATTCCTTCCCTTCCTTATCTCTTTCCTTCCTACTCTTTTTTCTTATCTCTTTTCTTCTTACTCCCCTTCTTTATCACTTTCCTTCTTACTCCCCTTTCTTATCTCTTTCCTTCTTACTCCCCTTTCTTATGTCTTTCCTTCTGACTCCCCTTTCTTATCACTTTCCTTCTTACTCCCCTTTCTTATCTCTTTCCTTCTTACTCCCCTTTCTTATCTCTTTCCTTCTTACTCCCCTTTCTTATCTCTTTCCTTCTTACTCCCCTTTCTTATCTCTTTCCTTCTTACTCCCCTTTCTTATCTCTTTCCTTCTTACTCCCCTTTCTTATCTCTTTCCTTCTTACTCATCTTCCTTATTTCTTTCTTTCCTTGTCACTTTCCTTCATATTCTCCTTCCTTGTCTCTTTCCTTTTTACTCTCCTTTCTTGCTTACTTTTTTCTCTATTTTCTTCTCTAAACCTACCTATGTTCAATTTCATACCTCTTTCCATTTAATTTAGACCCTAATTATACCAGTTTCAGAAATGCATAAAACATATTCATTTCTTCTCAGGATTAGTGACATAGTCAAACTCTTATTTTAACATAATTTCAAGCTCTACAGTTTCCATTTTGCTTTGTAATTAACATTCATATTATTTTCTTAAAAGATGTGAATAGCAACACCTTATGAAAACAGGAAAATCTTTTAGTCAAAATCCTCTGTTAAAATGAAAAGCAAAAAAAGAGGTTCTAATAATTTTTTGAAGTTGACAATTACATAAATTCTGTTCTTATTGTCATTTAGTCATATCATTTCAGGTTAACTCTTAAAGAAGTAAACACCAAAATCACTACCATTCATATTTTTATTAAAAGACAGAAATTGTTTTATGAAGAAAAATGAAATAAAGCCAAAAACATTGTATTTCCTTGAACTCCAGTTTTAAACTTTTAAGTTTAAAATAATGATTAAATCTAAAGCTGGAAAGGTTGTGTGCCCTCTATGCAAGAAATCTTTGTGTCTGTGGCACCAATGTTTTAATGGAATTATAAATGTTAGATTTCAAGACAGATAGAACTGCAGCTTCACTTAAAATAGGAAGGTTTTTCTATGTTTGAGCTATTGTCACAAAGGTGAAACTTTTAACATTATGACACACTCACCATTCTCAACGACCACACAGCATCCCCCATTTCACAGTTCACAGAATTATGTCTGGTGACATAGTAACATTATACCTTGATGTGACTTTTGTTTGTTAAATATGTGTATTGAGGTACTGACATCAATCTTGTTCCTTTTAGTGATTTTTGACCGATCTCTTTCATGAAGGTCAGCCACAAAGGAATATTTAGAATGAATTCTATTACTTATTTGACTATTTAGTATTTGATGGTTTTAATTACTTTTATCTTTATGAATTCTATAAATTGTTTTTGTTTGCAGGAAGAAAAATTTATTTTACTTTTGTTGACCACAGAGTTTAATGTGTATTTACTTAATGGCATATTTGAATGCTGCCATTATATGGATTTTTTTATCTCCAGATCATTGTGATGTAACCATGTTTAAAAGAAATTATCACTAGATTATTAAAAATACTGTAAAAATTAGCTTAGCATTGAAACATTTTGGCACCCACTTGACTGCTAGTTTCTCTTAAAGAGGACTATTCTTTTTTAAACCTCATAGACTGACAATACAGAAATACAAACACCTATATTAAATAATAGAAACAACATTGCTTGAGGATTTTCAAAATCAGCAACAACTAAAATAGATATCACATGTAATTCAAAGAGAAAACAATGTCATAATCAAGATGCTGACATTGCACACTACTTCAAAGAAAAGATTAGGGAAGGACCCCCCCTCTCAGTATAGTAGCACTGGACATTCAGTCAATGAATGCTGAATGTTTCCTTATAAGGAAACAGCTGATATTACCATTTTGAATAACCAAATGCTTATGAATTATAGACCCAATCTTTACACTGGATATCTTTCATTACTCAACAGGTAGGTCATGAACATAACCAATAATTTCAAAGATTTGAAGATCTCCCAAACTGTGCTGCTTGTATATCTTAAAAATCTCTGCACTAAAACTTGACACTAGTTCTTCGCAGTTGAATATAACGGTCATTTGTCACCCAATATTTGCATCAAGCATGCATAGATTTCCCTTGGAGTTTTCTTCTGCAGGAAAAGAAACCTTATGACAGCTTAGAGTTCAACAGTTGGAAATTCAACATTTTCAACTGATCTTGGTGAGTCAATGATCTGAAACAAATTTAAAAATATGTACAATGATTCTGCAGATTGGCATTTTACAATATAAAGAGAACACTCTTCTCAGCTACAATGATAAGATAATATTTGAAATGTGGGTTTGGCCAATCATTTTCCAGCACACCTTCATATTAATAGAAGTACTTTGTTATTCATTTTCAATGAAACATGTATTAAAGAGGAATTCAAACCCAAATACACAATCTTGCTTATTATAAAACTCAGATTGTGTGTGTGTCTGTTCGTTTATATATGGGATTGTATTTCCTACATTTTTCAACTGATTTCAACAAAACTTCACAGGACTACGTAAAATTACCTGGCGGTGGTTCTGACAGCACCACAAATTGGAAAAACATAATTGTTTTTGCCCGAAATCAATTTGAAAGCACTGTTAAGGGTATCGCATGTGGCCAGAAGTTACTGCTGACTACTCAAGCATCCGAATTCCGTTAACTTCCGGTGACTCAGCGTTTTTTTTTTCAGAGAACGATACACAAAACATAAAACAAATGAAGCATAAACATACACAAGTCTTCCTAATAAAAATAATAACCAGAAACTACTTTAAATACACATGGTGTCCAAATGAAACCCATGTGTACAGTCAAAATGTGGAAGTTAATTTTTATTCATCAACCAAAAGATATTGCCAACTGGCTACGATGCTACCGCAGTTGACATAAATACAGCCGATTGGAGGGGTGTACGTGCTTTATTTATCATCTCTCAGTTGCGTCACTGTCGTTGGACAGAGAGCGCTCAGGGGCTTCTCTGTCTAAGGACGGAGGAGCAACTGAGAAAATAATACTGAAGAGGTGCCCAGCCCTGGGGAACAGCTGCCCGAGGCTGCGCCCTCCCATTGCACCAGAGGGAGGGATTGGTGCTCGCACCAAGGCCAGCGCAACCGACGGTTGTGGGGGCTGAGGGAAATTTTTGTCCCTGCCCGAGTGTACACGTTCGGGTCCCCACCTTGTGTCACATCTCATTCTCGTGGGGGAATGGGTAAATATCAGAGTGACATGCTCCCCCTCTCACCTTCACCTGGCCGACCCTCGTAGAAAATAAACCTCCACATCTCAAGTGTTAATAAAAGCAAAGCATGTCAGATTTATAAAGATTTCCTGTTTGTCCTTTATCCTATCATTCTCTTGCACTCCTATCTATATTTGATCTTAATTCATATATATATAAATAAAAACAGATGCAAACTATGCCTGGAAGAAAAAATTAAAATAATTAAGTACAAAAATACAAGCCAGTTATTGAACCAGAGAAATGAAATTATGCTTAAATGTCATCATAAAAATAAGTTTATATAGTCTTAAAAATAGACATTTATTTTGCATCAAACACTGAAAAATATATATTAGGTTTGTAACTATGTAGGTTTATATATATATATGTGTGTATTGTATATGTGTATATCTATCTATTACTTTTATTACTATTATTATTACTTTAAATATATTATATATATATTTTTTATTACTATTAAATGATGATAATGTTTAAATGAATAACAACATAGATTGCATTTCTGTGATTTTTATTACTGGTTGCACAGTTAAAGTATATATATATATATATATATATATAAGGCAGGGTGTGTATGTGTGTGTAACGAATGCACGACCGCAATTTTTGACGGATTTGCACCAAAATTTACATGCACATGCTCCAAGTTAGCGGAAAGGCCAAGACTGACTTTGCATTTCCCAACTCCCATCAATAGTGGAAATAATCAATTTTTTCCTGCTTCTATGGCAGTTTTCATGTAGTTTGCGGCCATTTTCTATCGGCCAGAGTGAGAGCCTATAGCTGGCTGCCACGAATAGGCAGGAAGATTCTATTGGCCAGCATGAGAGCCAACAGCTGACTGACATGAATGTTAACTAGCATGCTAGCATGCAAAAAATATCAATAGCTGCATTCATCACAAGTGGAAAAAATTTAAATCTGCATGGCACTTTACTCCAATTGGCTCATTCACTTGCTTAAACTCAACGTTGATTCTGATTCTGAAGTACTGGGTTGGGTGTGAAAAAGTATTTGTTGTTAACATTCTTTTTTCATTCGGTTCTTCCAGTTACAAGTCCTTTTTTTAAAGCTGATCGTTTTGTGTTCATTTTGTTTAGTTCTTTTTTCGTAACAGATTTAACGTTTAGTATAGAGCTTAGAAAAAATTTGCAGTGTGAGATAGGCAAGAAGTAAGGCATGTAGCAACATCAGCACAGCAAAGGGCACTCCTTTAAAGGCAAGGAAGGGCAAAAATATTTTAAGTCAAGTGATCGCGATTGCTGTATGAGTCGTACAATTTTTGAATCAAGCACGGGCAATGTTGGGCCATGTTGCTTGTTATATATAAGCATAGATATATCAATATGTTTGTAGCCTAATAATAAAAAACAAAAAAAACATTTATTTTGTATAATATTTTATTCTTCAACATAATCCTTTTCTTCATTACACTTTACCTTTCTCCATTAATCAACTGAATCAAACATTGATTGCTTCATGTAAAAATTCAACTGATAGATCAATCAAGCTACAAATTATTGATCTATTCACATGTGTATGTGTACACACACATATTTATGTATTCAATAAATCAATAAAAGTTCAGTGCACTTATTTCATTTGACCGACTCCATAGTTTTGTGTCAAAATGCTTGTCTGTGCCAGATGTTCAATAAATCTATTGAAATTCTAATCAAATCTCATTTTTATTATCATTGGAACAAACATTAAATTTCAAATTCTTACCTTGTTAGAATTTCATTAAAAACATAACATCATTTAAATTTAGAGTCAGTTAAAATGCTTTTTTGTTTCCTTTTTTATTCTTTTTCTTAGGTATATGTATGTATAATTGTTCAATATTTGGTATTTTTATAAGGGAAGAGTGATCAGTATCTAGGATAGACCTTTTGTGGATATTAAAATAGTGCACACACAGATATCAACACTGCATGTTACCTGTCAGTTTCATACCTTAACCAATCATCAGATCATTTACTGTTGATTTTTGTGTTCACACTGTTTATATCTATTGGAAAAGATTAGATAGTATAATTATAAAACTACAGAAAAAATATGAACAGAACAACTGTTTATATATATATATATATAGAGAGAGAGAGAGAAAGAAACTAAGAGAGACTAACAGACTGACTATGGACATAAGAATTAACACTGCATGTTTCACTCCTTAAGCGGTCATCA